TCGATTAGCCTCCCATTATATCTGTACCATATGGAGATTCCCCTGGTACAGCTATTGAAGGCTTCACGAACTACGTGGTCAAAATAGATGTTAAATAATGTGGGAGCCAGAGGACATCCCTGTCGCACCCCAAGGTGTACAGGGAATGGCTCTGACTCCCGGCCACGTAGTTTTACCCGGGCCCGCTCACCATCATGAAGGTCCTTAATGATCGTGAGCAGAGGGTCAGGTACTCCAAAAGCACGAAGAACGACCCAGAGCCCAGGCCTACTGATGGTATCATAGGCCTTGACCAGGTCAATAAAGCAGAGATGTAGGTCTTGTTGGAATTCCCTACACCTCTGCTGTAGCAGACGGACAGAAAATATGGCATCTGTGCAGGACCGCCCTTTCCTGAAACCGCATTGGGGCTCCGCAAACCTCTCCTCAGCGTGCCTGGCAAGGCGATGCTGAATAATCCTTGCCAGGACCTTTCCCGGCACACTGAGGAGTGAGATGCCCCTGTAGTTGTTACAGTCTGTGCGGTCCCCCTTCTTAAAAAGGGGGACCACCAGGGCATCCTTCCAATCCTGCGGAACCCGTCCAGTGGTCCAGACTGTTGTTATGATGTCATATAGGGCAGTCTGTGCACAAACGCCACCCTCCCTCAGCATTTCGCTTGGAAGATCATCTCTGCCCGCTGCCTTTCCTGGTCTCAGACTCCGGATCGCCTTCAATACTTCCTCAGCAGATGGCACCTCAGCCAGCCACTCACAGGGGGTGACTTCATCCAATATTTGAGGCACCGCAGCCTCAGCAGGGTCATCCTCACTTTGTGCCACGATGTTTTCCTGGCTGAGGGATTTTCCCTCCCCCAGGACCTCACAGAAATGCTCAGCAAATCTGCGAACCTGTTCCTGGGGGTCGGAAATTGGATCGCCGTTTTTTCCCCTAATGATGGTAATAGGTGTGGCGCTGCAGGTTACTTTTTTGATGGAGTTAAATAGAGATTTGTGATCACGGGCCACTGAGGCAGACTCCATCTCCTCAGCAACCCGCGACCACCACCCATCCTTGCAGCGCCTCACGGCTCTCCGAACCTCCGAGCGAAGGCTGCGGTAAGCCTCCTCATTCTCTGACGTGGGACTCTGTAGCCGATGACAGTGGGCCTGTCGCTTTTTCTCAACCATCGTGAACAACTCCTCTGTCATCCAGGGTGTCTGGGGAGGTCTGGACCGCGTACCCAAAGCAGCCATTGCAGCTGCATGAGTCACAGTCCTAAACCTCGCCCATTTACCCTCGACATCAGGAGGAGTCGGGGACGATGCCAATCCCAGCCGCAAGCGATGATGAAATTCTCGCTTGCAACTTTCATCAGATAACTGAGACCAGGCCACTTTATGTTGGAATGGGGTCCTGGGTGTACACCCACCACCGGAGTGGAAGAATGGCAGGCGCATCTTACAGATGACACACACACACACGTTCACAGACACACGTACACATTGACACACACACACGTTCACAGACACACGTACACATTGACACACACACACGTTCACAGACACACGTACACATTGACACACACACACGTACACAGACACACACGTACACATTGACACACACACACGTTCACAGACACACGTACACATTGACACACACACGTACACATTGACACACACACACGTTCACAGACACACGTACACATTGACACACACACACATTGACACACACACACGTTCACAGACACACGTACACATTGACACACACATTGACACACACACACGTTCACAGACACACGTACACATTGACACACACACACGTTCACAGACACACGTACACATTGACACACACACACGTTCGCAGACACACGTACACATTGACACACACACGTACACATTGACGCACACACACGTTCACAGACACACGTACACATTGACACACACACACGTTCACAGACACACGTACACATTGACACACACACACGTTCACAGACACACGTACACATTGACACACACACACGTTCACAGACACACGTACACATTGACACACACACACGTACACAGACACACGTACACATTGACACACACACACGTTCACAGACACACGTACACATTGACACACACACACGTTCACAGACACACGTACACATTGACACACACACACACGTACACAGACACACATACACATTGACACACACACGTACACAGACACACACACGTTCATAGACACACGTACACAGACACACACACGTTCACAGACACACACACACATTGACACACACACACGTACACATTGACACACACACACGTTCACAGACACACGTACACATTGACACACACACACGTTCGCAGACACACGTACACATTGACACACACACGTACACATTGACACACACACACGTTCACAGACACACGTACACATTGACACACACACACGTTCACAGACACACGTACACATTGACACACACACACGTTCACAGACACACGTACACATTGACACACACACACGTTCACAGACACACGTACACATTGACACACACACACGTACACAGACACACGTACACATTGACACACACACGTTCACAGACACACGTACACATTGACACACACACACGTTCACAGACACACGTACACATTGACACACACACACACGTACACAGACACACATACACATTGACACACACACGTACACAGACACACACACGTTCATAGACACACGTACACAGACACACACACGTTCACAGACACACACACACATTGACACACACACACGTACACATTGACACACACACACGTTCACAGACACACGTACACATCGACACACACACGTTCACAGACACACGTACACAGACACACACACGTTCACAGACACACGTTCACAGACACACGTACACATTGACACACACACGTTCACAGACACACGTACACATTGACACACACACACACGTACACAGACACACGTACACATTGACACACACACACATTGACACACACACACGTTCACAGACACACACACACGTTCACAGACACACGTACACATTGACACACACACACGTTCACAGACACACGTACACATTGACACACACACACATTGACACACACACACGTTCACAGACACACGTACACATTGACACACACACACATTGACACACACACACGTTCACAGACACACGTACACATTGACACACACACACGTACACAGACACACATACACATTGACACACACACGTACACATTGACACACACACACGTTCACAGACACACACACGTACACAGACACACGTACACATTGACACACACACGTTCACAGACACACGTACACATTGACACACACACACGTTCACAGACACACGTACACATTGACACACACAGGCGCGCACGTGCAAAGCAAAAACAAACAGCGCTGTTTCCTAAACTTTCTCTGCCCCCCCGGCCACCCCCGCCCCTCCACGTCACGCGCCGCGGGGGCGGGGGGCGGGGGGCGGGGGGTACCCACACAAGAGCCGCCTGTGCCCGTAACCTGGCGCGAGTCGCGACCCACCCCGCAACCCACACCCCACATCCGACCCCCACCTCGACTCACAGCCCTCGCCCCCCCCCACCCTCCCTTCGTCTCCCACCCACATCCCTTACACCGCCCCCTCCCACACACTCTGCCCATGCCCACTCTGTACGCACGGGCCACATGGATTTTACACAGCCCAACGCTGCGGCCAGCAACAAACAGCACTCTGAGCAGAAGTTGTGATGGATGCGAGTTTCGGCGCGTGTCTTTGAATTGAGCGAGATTATTGCTCTAAGAGTTTTGGGGGTGAGAGGCCATGATGGCTATGATGATGATGGGAGGAGGAGGAGAGAATTCCAGAGTGTAGCGGTACGAGGGAAGAAGCAGCGAGAGCGATAAGTGAGGTCACCTGCAGTGTGGTGAGTGAATGGGTGGGTCAATGAGTTCGTGAGTGGGTGAGTGAGCGTGTTGTTGTGACCAGCAGTGGGGTGTTTTGGTGGGAGAGGTGGGGGATGAGTGGATGAGTATTTAGTGTGTGAGTGGGTGGTAGAGTGGGCGAGAGACTCACTGGATGAGAGAGTAAGCGGATGAGAGGGTGAGTTGGTGAGTGTTTGTGTGAGTTCGTGCGTGATTGGGTAAGTCAGCGGGTGAGTGAGTGGTTGAATAAGTAGCTGAGTGAGTGGGTAAGTGAGTGAGTGAGTTGTTGTGACTTGCAGTGTGGGGGCAGTTGAACACCGTTTGATGGAAGAGAGACGACACAGTCGGTGTCTGGCAGACCGAGACCTCAACACGGATGGAGGAATCGATGAGTGTAGTTCACATGAACATACATCACTCATACAACACATGTGCACGCAAAAACAAAGATCCCCCGTATAGACTTTAACAGACTATCGGGGCAAGTGCTGTTAGCGAGTAGCACACCTACGAAGAACGACATGGCACACGAGGGGGTGGGTGGCTAGAACCACGCCCGGACGCCTTTGTCTCCCAAGCGTTGATGTTTACACACCGCACCAGGTACTCATTTGAGGCTGAGTTGACCCAGAGGAGGCTCAGGACCGGATTTGATCATCGTCACTGGTGTTGACCGTGAGTGGGAATTGAACTCGTGTCACCGGGTTCGCAGTGCAGTGCGCTAACTGCTGCACTACTGCTCCCCACAATACACAGACGCACTCACATTCATAGCACACAATCATCAATACTACCACCATCATCATCACCATCACGCAGCGAGACTCGCCCTTGGTGGGGATCATCAGCCTCGCGTGCGCGCGGAGTTTGAGAGTCGCGAGCTTTCTCAGCCTTGCTGTGACGACACAGATCACCTGACCACAAAAAAAAACCTCTCTCCTATTGCCTAATCCAATCGTCCCTCAATCCACCCTCCTCTCCACCTACCACTCACCCCATCCATCTCATCTTCCTCCATCTCTCATCCGCTCTCCCCCTGCCTCTCACCTCTCCTTCTCATCTGACCACCTCCCCCACCCTCCCCCCAATCCCCACAGCCTCCTCGGAGCTGGGCGCCTTCTCTGCGCCACCGCGCGTCTCCCTCGAGTCGCAGTTTGCCGCGGGCCTCTCCTCCCTCCCCGAGGGTCGCTTCGGGGACCCGCGCGTCCACTACCCGGGGGCCTTCGCCTACACCCCGGGGGGACCGGCCTCCTCGGCACTGGGCCTGGGCATGTCACCCATGGGCGGTGGGCCGGCTGCCTCGGCCGCGGTGGCAGCAGCCGCGGCCGCCGCGCGCTACCACGCGGCGGCCGCCGCCTCGTACCACCACCTCCCCCCGCCGTACCCGGGTTCGCAGCAGGGACAGGGGCAGGGCTCGGCGTTCCAGGCGGGCGCCCCAGCGCCCTTCCAGCATCTCTACTACGGTGGCGCGCCGTCCACGAGCAGCTACCAGTTCCCGCCGCCTGTGATGCAGCAGCAGCAGCAGTCCGGCGTGGGGGGCGAGGAGCGGCCACTCCCTGCGGGACCGCTGATCAATAACCCAGCGCTGCCCTCCACGCACCAGGACGCCGGGGTTCATGACCCTGAGGGCAGCCAGGGCAGCTCGCCCACCAGCTTGTCGTCCGGCCGCCTGGAGGAGGCCGTGTGGAGGCCGTACTGACGCGGTGCTTCCGTCGCCACCACCGCCACCACCATCATCATCATCACCTGTGCCGCGCCACCGCGGGCACACCTCACCCCGCCTCCCCATGGCCCCCTCCTTCCCCCTCCACATAGCCCCCCCCCCCTACCCCCTCCCCATGGTCCCCCCGACTCGCCTCTCCCTACGGCCCCCTTGTAGCATAGATCACGCGGACTCTCGATTAATGGAATCGGCTAATCATCCAGCAGTGGATTTATAAAGAAGGGATGTAAATACGTCATACGGATTGGGCTCAATTCACATCGCCCCTGCAGCACGCTCGAGGCCGCTACATTAATACATGGGGGGGCAGTTGTTGAAATATCTCACCGCTAAGAACCAGCCCCGAGCACCCCCCCCCTCCTCTCCTACCTCCCCACTCCCCATAACCCAATCCCTAACCCCACCCACCCCCCCCCCCAAAATTGTACACTGCCAAACAAGGTTTCTTGTACTCACAGTGCCCCTCCCCCAACTGCCTTGCCCCCCGCTGTATATAATTCCCCCCCCTCCCCCCAACTTCGCCTTCATTCACCTCTCCCCGCTAATGTAGAGACTCGCGCCACGTGAATCCATCTCGCCCCCCCCCCCACACACACTCCCTGCTGTTGCAGGAATCGGTACGATGAGGTTTAGTGGGCCCGTGCCCCCACCCCCCGCTAACCCCCAACCCCCCCCCCCCCCACCGCTCCCTTCCACGCACGCCACACGCGGTAGATATGCGGGGGTAGGGGATGGAAGTCCCGTGAGGGATTTTTGATCCCCCGGTTGCATTTCAACTGTTTCACTTCGGGTGACAGCGTTTTATACAATTCTGACCCCTCCCCATCCTCCACTCCACGCTCGCATCTCTCTCTCTCTCCACCTCCCCCGCCCCGCACCTCACCTACTTCCTCCGTGCCCCCCCCCCCGGACCTCTCTCCCTCCCACTCCCCTCCCTATTGTGACGTCACGTCCGGATTAGGTGACGTCACGTCCAGATTCGGTGCCGTCGATGATGTTTTGTTCGTGTCATGTGGGGGACGTCGTTGTGAACGTCTCAGCCGGCGCGGGTACTGTCGCGGCTACTGTATCGGGTACTGTAGCGGAAACTATATTTATTGACAAACGAAAACCCCACCTCAAGCCCCTTTTGTACTAGGCCCTCTATCCTCACGCTGACCTCTTTGAACTCTAGTAAACCCGCTCAGCTGCGAGGTGGTAGCCAGGGCCAGCAGACAGGAGTACAGCAAGTGGGATCCTGAACTAATCTGTGTAATTGGCGCACCTTCGCTCTGAGTGTCATCTCCTTGTCCGTACAAGTGGTGGGATCTCTTCCCTGGGTTCATTGGATTCCTCGCGCACGGCCCTAAAGCGCGCTCAAAGTTAAAATGGAATTTGGCCAAATGGCCCACTGTAGCAGGACTCTCTTGCAAAATGAGTCGTGAGACTCGGTAAGGGCTTTTTCTGGTCATTGTTTTCCCCAAATACTGAGCTCGAACCCGGGGTGAGGCTGAGTAGGGGCCTTGAGATTGCGAGTCAGAGATCGCGTGCTCATGCCATTGTCCTTCATGCAGGAGTGGAGAACCTCTTTTCTGTGGACCGCACTAGGCGCGTGGTCTAAACCCGGTCCGGGGCTACGCTCGTCACCTGATGCGCGGCCACATGAGATGACTGCTACTTCGAAGCGGCTCACAAGCGATAGTTATCCGTCCCTGCAAGAAACTTAGCCGCACTAATCGGGCCCTGGACGGGAGAGAATATTTCCCAGCTGGCAACAAACGCGCAGTTTGAAATCAAACGCTGAGATGAAATCGGATCCCGCCGTCCAGAGCTGAGTGGATCATCACGTCGCTGGATCGAGAGAGGGAGAGATTGCCTGAGGACGTCTTCATCCAGCAGTGGATTGACTATGGCTGCTGCTGATGATGATAACTGCGTTTCTAATTGTTGCGTTTTCAGCCAAGTGTGTCTGTAGAGCCTTCTTGCAGTGACAATAGCGACCAAGGCGTGTCCGTTAGTCTGTGATTGACCGCCAAAAGGAGTTGAAACTCATATTCAGAACTCTGGATAGAGTCTTCCCGCCATAGGAATGCGGAATTCCCACCACCTCTGGAGGGCTGTAAACCCATGCTTCAATGCGCATGCGAACTGGGAATGCCTGTGGCCTTCTTGATTCTGCCCCCAGTGAGGATGAGAGTCTTCGATCTGGATGATCAATCCATTCGTTGACTCAGTCGCGGGTTCGGAGTCATTTGGGTTCATGGGCGAGAGGGCTTGTGGGAGGGGAATAGTCAGAGCCTCTAGGAGGGGAGGGAGGTGGGTTATCCGGGAGTTTTCTCAGTCTGCCCCCCCCCCCCGCCTATCCTCCTCTCATCGGCGAACGCGTGGTGAGTGATGGAGCACGCCGGTTGGCAATTCATCTCGCACCCGTGCCACCCACGCCACCCGCGCAGCCCGTGCCACCCGTGCCACCGGCGCTCGCTCCGGTTTGATTTTTAGTGGAAACATTTCCCACGGACGATCATTTGACGGAGAGAGGACGTCTCGTTTACAAGGGTGTCCAGTGTCCTAGCGCTCACACCGCTGGTCACACAGCGGGTCAGGTGGGGGGAGCGGGGAGGTCAGGTCCCCTACCTCCGAGGCGAGACGCGGTACAAATGTGATGATGATAGTGGTGGTGGTGGTGTTGATGGAGATGATGATGATGCTTGATGAAGAAAAGATGACCTGTTCATAGATATAGAAGTCTGGTGAAATTCTCGCGTCGTGATATCTTAGGCCTTTGACCCTTCCGCGTTCGTGATTTCTGTTGTGGTCGCGTCCGCTCCGTGTGAACTCCGCGTATCCGTGATGGTTCAATAAAGAGAGCACTTATTTGATTTGAGATCGAGTCTCACGCACGGAGAGACACATACACGGCGCGGAGAGCCACTCGCCACTCACCACACGCTCACCACACACTCACTGCTCATACACCCCAACCACCACTCACACTCACTGTTCACCACACACACTCACCACACATTCACTGCTCATACACCCCAAACACCACTCACTGTTCACCACACACACTCACCACACACTCACCACACACTCACTGCTCATACACCCCAACCACCACTCACACTCACCGTTCACCACACACACTCACCACACACTCACTGCTCATACACCCCAACCACCACTCACACTCACCGTTCACCACACACACTCACCACACACTCACTGCTCATACACCCCAACCACTACTCACTGTTCACCACACACACTCACCACACACTCACCACACACTCACTGCTCATACACCCCAACCACCACTCACACTCACCGTTCACCACACACACTCACCACACACTCACTGCTCATACACCCTGACCACCACTCACACTCACCGTTCACCACACACACTCACCACACACTCACTGCTCATACACCCCGACCACCACTCATGCTGACCACTGACACACCACATACACGGCACTCGCATACCACTCACACACACCACTCACTCACCACTGACATTTATCACTCACCACACACACTACTCACTCACCACTCACACCACACGAAGCCGACACGTGGCTCAGAGATTCACCTCCCCCTCCACTCTCTATAAATCTGCCCCCCCCACCCATGTACCTCGTCTACCCCCTCCCCCCCACTCGCCCCCCCCCCCCCCCCCATCACCTCGTCCACCACCCGAGCTCTTCCCCAATTAAGCTTTGCCCGCGCGCACGTCCTGATGAACGGATGTTACTGCGGCAGAACATGGTGGGGGTGGATGGGGTGGGGGGTGGAGGGGTTAAGAGGGGAAGAAGGGGGGAGTAATGGTTGTGTCGCAGACGGGGGGAGGCTTAGCAGGGGTGGTGAGGGCTGTCGGGGTAAGAATGGTGAGGAGGCTGGAGGGAGGAAGGAGAGACGCTTAGAGGATGGGGGGGTCCAAGTTGGTTGGGGGGGGGAGGGGGGGGGGGGCTGGGACATCCGCATGCGCACGTGCGATGCAACTGCCCCCCCCTCCCCCACCTCATCCTCCCCATGCCCCCCCCCCCCCCCACCCGTTGCCTCAGGCGATGGATATGACGGGTCGTCGCTAATTGGCCACGTGCGTTCAGTCAATCCGCCGTTCTCATTTACGACGCAAAAAACACAGCGATTCCCCTCGACCCCCCCCCCCTCCCCATCGCATACCACCCCCTCCACCCCCAGCGCTGTGCCTTCCTCGGGGGTTGCCACCTGCCCTGTTTTCCCCCGGACTGCCCTCGTGTTAAGCGAGGCAGCGTTGTCTGTTTTTTGGGAACTCGCCATCTTCTAGGAACATTGAAGGCCCAGGTTTGTGTCAGTTTCGTAAACTAAAATGATAGCGCCGCCACTCGAGACATGGCAGCCGCATGCAGCTCCACTCTCCTGGGATTTTACGTATTCATCTTTCCCCCCGTAAAATATATCCCAGGTTTTGTACCACAGAGGGTTGCGACCCCAGTCTGAGCCTGTGGGACAAATGTGTGAGTCGCTGGGTCTCGATGAGTCGGTGGTTGGTGCCATCTGTGCAGGTTTTCCCGGGATCGCGTTCCCTACGGCGATCGCCGTCGTGAGAAATCCGCACGTCATGTAGCTCTGGACCACTTCTGCCATTGCGAAATATCCAAATTCCCACGATACGTCCCGACGTTTTTTTTTTACATCGGAGGTGGTGACCACAGCCCCACCGCCGTGCCCCATCAGTTCCATCTCTTCTCCAGCCCGTGCTCCGCCCGTTTAGCCCCGTCTATCCGGCCAGACAGAAGCTGCTCGGGCATGCGGTGGCTGGGCATGCGGGCCACATGACCCCAGCCAACGCAGCCTCCTCGCCTGCCGGACGAGGAGCTAGCCGAGGTTGGACAATGTTGACGTCTCAATTTAGAATGCCAGAGCGAAACGTCGGACATCATGCCGGACAACACGTGGAGTAACCTCCGTCTCGTACCCCGCGTACCCCCCCCCCCCCCCCCACCACCACCGCAGCTTCTCTCACCCAGGGCCGCCCATAGAGGGGTACAGAACCCTGGGAAAATCCCACCGTGCCCCCTCCACCCCAAAGCGCGGGGCCCTGGGCGGTCACCCCGATTCGCCCTACCCAAGGGACGACCCTGCTCCCACCCACCTAACCACCCCGTGCCGATGAATCACGCAGCCCGCTCTTCTCTGCTGCCCCTGCTGTCTCGTAAACAAACACGCGGGGGACGGAGAGGAGGATGTCCGGATCGCGTGTTTGTGTCCCCCCCCTCCCCCCCGTGCGGCTAATGACGGAGTTAATTGGCACGATACGAGCGCCGGGGACTGTGTGCGCCCTCCCATGACGCGCGCGGGCGCCACGCCAGGACCCCTCCTCCGCATGCCCCCCACCCCCCATCACCACCATCCTCATCCTCCACATCATTATCCTCATCACCACCATCTTCATCCTCATCATCATTATCCTCATCACCACCATTCTCTGCCTCCCTCTCATCCTCCTCCTCCTCCTCTCCATCATCATTCTCACCACCATTCCCCTCCCCCTCATCATCATCTTCCTCATCATCATCGTGATGCAGTTTGCATTGGACACGACCCCAGAATTATTTTGTTTTAAAAGTCAAAATGGTTACCCGCTCAAACGACCTGAGCAGGCCCTCATGCCCCGTTTACAGCCCCGAGCAAGTGGTAAAAATTCCACATTCCTATGACGGGGGGGGGGGGCAGGTCTCTCTGTAGGACAGCTGTGGTTAACGTCCCCATAAAGTGCGGTTCATTTTATCGACCCCCGGTGATAGAGATGATGATGTGCTGAGTCCACCCCGGATCTGAACTCGCATCTTTCCGATCGCAATTCGTTTCACTCCACCGCTGAGGAGCTCAACCGGATTCGTTTAACGAGCATGGCTCTGCTGATGA